CGAAACATTAACTTTTAACACTGAATAAGCATTCAGATGAATGCAGCTTTTGTTATGTGTGCACACATTCATTCAGTACCAATCAATCGATATAAATATTCTAAATACACAAAACCCACTGAAAAATACGCAAGGTTGAATTTTATTGAAAAGATTTCAAAATTTCAACACGAAAAATAGTTTATTGAGCGTTATCATTAATTTGTTTCACTTAAATTTGTATAAATATTTATAATAAATGAAAATATTAATTAGAGAAATATTTTTCTGCCAAGAATGTCATTATGAAAAATGTTAATTATTAACGATTTTTACATCTCTGTTTCGAAAATTGTCAGCTTTCTAAATAAGTATTACCAATGTACCAATAAAAGGTATGTGCAGAAATTATTACATATGTACATACCTATATATCTACGTTAAAATAAGTAAACAAATTTAAGCGCTTCTACTTCTAACTTTAGATATATACATTTTATTATTTATTTATAAAAATTCTTAATACAAGTTTCTTCGTACTTTTTTCTTCGCAATTGGGTCAAGCATTTAATAAAGATTCTAAAACCTGATTTGTGGGTTTGTGGTGGTTTCTACCATTTACAATAAGTTGCAAATTATCAACTTTTCTCAAAAAAAGATTTAACAAATCTGTGTGCAGACCCCTTTTTATTTTAGTGTGGTAGAATCAAAAAAAATGTCGTAGATTTGAATAAGATGTGGTAGATTTTCCAATTCATATTTTATTGGGTATACATATCGCACACCGTTGTCAAAAGAAGCACAACTCAAAAATTAAATCGGGAAATATAATTGCTAGTGGATCGTACAGATTCCAAGCAATTGGTGCAAAAACAAGTATAACATTAGTTTTCTAGTTAGAGAATATAATCATGAAGAAAATAATATTTTATTTGTATGCAAAATAATCGACCAAATTATTTTCCCATTGCATAATACTTTAGCAAATATAAATAGGCGTATTTTTGAAATATTAGAAAGTTAAGGCACAGATATATTTAAAGCAAAATTTATGATGTACCTTTTTAAAAATTTATTGATTAATTTTTATATTTCGAATTACAATTGAGTTGAAATTCTAGAGTTATGTGAAAATTGTAAACAAATCTTCTGTCTAAAAATGTGGTAGATTTTAAGCCTTGTGTGGTAGATGTGGTAGACACCCAAATTTAAAAAAAAATACGTGGTTGATCTACCACACATGTGGTAGAAGCTTGCACACTGTTCTAAACGTATGTTTTGAGCAAATTGATGTTTAAAGCTAGCAATATATCCCATGTCCATTTGCAAAACTATAATAATAAACATGGCAGTTTTTTAGCAATTTGGTTCCTGTAATTAAGGAAATATTGTAGTTTTGGCATTTTTCGAAATTACCATTTTATGAGAGGGACCAGGTTATTATTCGACTTTTGTATTTTCAATACCCTGCTGCCCTAGATAAAAAAACCCTCGTACAGAATTTGGTTGAGATATCTCAACTTTTGCTAGAGTTATCGTGTACGCAAATAAACGGACATGGACTAATCATCTTTTCTTTTTATTCTGAGCATTTTTATGTATATATACATACATAAGTAGTACATACGAACATAAATGTATGTATCCATATCGATTAATTTTGGTTGTTCCAAATATACGTTATTTGAAAAAAAGTTATGGTACCCTCTTGCAGAACTGCGTTGTAAATATGTTTAGGAAACATTTAAATTAATAGTTAATTAAAAAAGTTGCTCAAAGTAATGGAACTCCTAAACCCCTTTAAAAAAAACAGGAACCCTTCTGAAATTTTGTTTTGAAAGTTTTCATATTTGAAAACTGAAAAAAATCACAGTATACAGCAAACCAGCCATTGACAATATGCTTATTTGAA